CTACTTTGTCAATCTCTTGTTGATCCATATTGCCCTTTCTCTAAGACTCTCTCTCTCTCTCTTTCTCTCTCTCTCTCTCTCTTTCTCTCTCCATCGCCTATGTATATCTATTTGCATGCCAGTATCTGTATTTGGCCAACCCAAAGTATCTCTAGACCCCTCTGTATTTCTCCAACAGTATGGAAATCCAGAAATCGCCCCTTTGACTTCGATGAGATTTACTGACCAAACATGAGTTGAAACCCTCAAACCGCGCTGTACCCAGATCTCTTTCTTGCGGATGCTGCGACTTGAGGCACCTAAGATCGACACAGCGAAGAGACATGGGGCACCAATGGACTGGACCAATGAAATTCGCAGGTTTACCCTAGTAGGGCCTAGGGTAAACTAACATGTTGGGTCATGTGGAAAACCCCTGGTTTCCCGAGGACAATCGTCTGCAAATGGTTGATGTTCCACATCGAACTGTTAACTTACCCCAGGCTAGCGGTAGTGTTAGCTTGGGGGAAATCATTTTGATAGTACCCATGCCCACATCGGTATTGGTTTAGATACCCCAAAGGATGGAAGGGCAACAAGTCTACCTGACATATCCCGACATAACAACCCGCATCCGGAAAACTTGATTTCTTCATGAATTGGGGTTCAGTTTCCGTTCGGGGGGTGTCGTCATTCCAACGTACCGATGGCCACTATGTAAGAAATCCTACCTGTCTTTTCTGTCATAAGAATATTCAACTTGGTAAAGAAATGATTCAGCGTCCAGTATCCAACAATGCAATGCTGATACAGTCACAAACCTTGAGGAATTCAATTTTTGAACTGACATTTCGTCTAAAAGACTATGCAAATATTTCTCATGCATATATATATATATACACATACACACACACATAATCACATATATATATACACCCACACACATATATATATATATGTATATGATATGTATATGTCTGTGTGTGTTAAAAAGTTAAAAATGTTCAGATCATGTTCCCATCCCACATGGTTCTACTGCTATCACGTGCAAGTCATGCCGACAGGGATCCCAAAGAGATGACGCTGCTGGCCGTCAGCGCAGCCAACAAATCTGGGACCTCAACGGACCACTCGTGAGAAAGGGGAATGCTATAGGTGGTCAGCCATTCTTTAGGATTATGAAAGGAGTGGTGTCAACATGTGTCAACCAAGATGCTGGAAAATGCTGGTCAAAATGCTGCTCAAATAGATTGAGCTTGTTACTCGTAGCAAGTTACATGCACATCACATGTAAGATATGCATTAAAACAACCGCACCGTCTTTCTTCAAACCATCATCACAACCTTGGATCTCCGAGAGGCAAGCGGTGACATGTTTGAGTCGTGGGATCCAACCTCTGCATGCGGGCGTGCCTCCAAAGAACAGCTTTCACAAGCGTCCACGCTGGCAGCATAGGCAGTGGCATCCAAAGCAACCTGACCTCAGCTGTCTATGGGTACCGGGACACACATCCTAAAGTGGTTGCACCCACTCCGAGTAGTGATAGAATTGGTGGGTTTCGGCATATACAGGAATTGGAAGTAACATGGGTGGCCGCGCTTGCAGCTGGGATGTTTCAAGCAGTAAGTCCCTCACGTGCTGACCAGCTCTGCAGATACAACACCCAACTGATCACAGGCTTCTATTGAAATCCTGTTTTGCGCAGTATCCCACCGCTTATTAATCCTGATCTTCAAACCGATTTGGAGTGCATTTTGTCTTGGCTACACCAGATCAAGGCAAGTTGCATTGTTTCAGCCGTTTTTGCTTCCAAACTACCCTTTTAGTTGGCTCCCTGCTATTGACTAGTTTATTTATTTCAAACCATTAATAGTTGATCAATAAATTCTCAACTATTGATACTATAAAAGACATGATTCTTAGTATTAATAGTTTATTATGACCATAGATTCATTGTTTCTCAACTTCTCGTTCTCGCTGGCCCGGATCTGGCCGTGCCTTCCGCGGCCTCTCGTAGCAAGCCCAAGGCTGAGCGCCAAAGAGCCCCTGACTGCTGCGTTGGACGAGTTGAAACTGTAGAAACAATAAAGGAACAATCGCAGATATTGAATCATTATAGATCATGAAATTTGATCAATACAGTAATATTGATCAATAATATTGGATCCAAATATTGGATCATTATCAATCAGATATTGGGTATGTGATATATGATATATGATATATGCCTTTACAATCACTAATCCATACTTGGGTATTTTGTTTTTTTGGATATGCATGTCCTTTTTTGCTGTCCAAGGCTGAGGACTGCACGAGAAGACTCAGCTATTGAAGCGTTGACGCAAATCAAGGGTTATTACCAAAGGGGCATGTTCAACGCACGCATCTGCAATATTATTGAAATCACCCCAGTTATATATGAGAGGAGTATCTGCAAGAATACCTTTCATATAGCTTCCCCTTGTATTGTATCAAGCCAAGGATTTCTGGGTGTATCTTCATATTCAATGCGTGCCCGTCAGATCATCATATCCTCATCTCTCTGGTCTTCTCAGGGGCCCCATCTGCTCCTTATGATATTCAACCAAGCTTTCTCATTGCGAAAATGCTTTTTGGAAGTCTGATTATCCCCCATGATCGATAGGAAGATCATATCAACCGCGCTTAGAACTGGCACTGTTTTTGGGTTGGTGGTTTTGACATCACAATACCACCCTGTAGGCTTACATCCTAAATCAAACAAACATTCAGAATCGACCAAGAAGTGATCTTTCTTTGCACCAACCTCAAAATACAAATGCACAATAAACAAATAACGTGCATATATAGATAAACCATGATAAACCTATCATATGGTTGACAAACTCAATTCGTAGCTCTTTGCTTTCCCATTTCATAGGGAAATATAGGGAATATAAGGACACCCCAGCTGCTCCGAATCGCTCCCTCCGGCATACCACCGGCCTTTCGCGCAGGCACGCAACGCCAAGGTATAGCTCTTGAGGTTGAGCCTCTAAATTTGCTGTGGCAGGAAATGCACGAAACAATAGATGGCCAAACATAAATATCCTGAGGGAAATTCGTAAAATGATGAACTCTTGGATACTTTTAGATGATTGCAAATCTCATGCTGAACTGACATAGATACCCAAGATCCACTGTTTGTAAACCATATCCAAACGAGAAACAACCATGGATTTCCATAGCTGTGTTAAGTGACTGTAGGGTAAACAATGGTAAACACCCTGCGTCGTATTCACTCATTTTTGGCAACAATAGCCATGGTCAATCTTAGACAGGCCACAAAGAAATTAATCTTCTGCTGTTTATGGTTATTTTTCCGTAGAAAAAAGCTCAAGGATTAAACTACCCATCCGTATATTGAACTGCCCAACCAAAGTTCACCCTGGAAAAGTGGTCAGCACTTGGAGCACTGGAACAATTCCAAGATGTGGTTTCAGGGGACCAAAACTCATTTCCCCAGCAGAATTCATCCGAGGAGTCCCAAGTTCTCTTAAAGCAGTACGTCGCATCTACGCTCACTGACAGTTGAGTTGAAGTAGTAAACTACGGAGTTTTACAATCGATACCTACGGATTTCTTGCGATTTCCTTGAAATATTTGGACGTGTTCCCTTCAACAAACCTAGGCCGCACTTGAAGATGTCTCAGCTCCACAGCTGGGTATCCAGCTTCAACTGTTGCTTTCGCATCGTCCCCTGGCGAGGAAAAAACGTCACCGTACATGTCTGAACAGCTGTTCAGCCACCTAGAAGTGATGTGTTCAACTTCCCAAACAGGTGGAAAACAGGTGAAAATAGCAGAAATTAAGGGAGACAACTCCACCAAAATCGGTGAGATATGGAGAAAGGAAGCGCCAGCTGAGTTCCCATGCTACCAGACTCAGAGTCAGTGGCCATTCAGCAGAAGTGTCACAGGAGGTTGCCACTGCCTAAAGCGGTTGGCTCTGGCGACCCGAGCTGGGGCACACCAATGGGCATACAACATCTACAACGTTGGTGATTTGAGATGACTTGAGAATTTAGGCTAGTTTAGGCTAGATGATTTTGAGACATTCACATGTTACAATTGCTGGGGGCATGCTGCGGCATACCCTGCGCCTGGACAAACCCAAATGTTTCCAAACGAAAAACATTCATCCAACAGCTGGTTGCTGACAGTGCTCCTCTATCCTCATCGGCCAACCAGCGAGAAAACACCATCAAATGGAGAAGCCAACATCTTGTCCCTGTCATGGAGCAAACGGAGACTCTGAATATAAGCGTAGGTCGTTCTACAAACACATAAAACCGAGGTCCCAACATTGAAGGCGTAGGTATCTGGCCTGAGATCGCGACATCTGCCTCTAAAATGCATCTCCAGCACATGCGTGACATTGAAACATTGCCACCGCCAAACCTACAAGAAACGAGCTTGGAAGATCATTTCCTTGGTGGACATGGCCATGAAACTGGCTTTCAGAGCCTGGAGTTTGACGCCAAATTGTCCAAGTCCGACCGATTTCCATGTTCTAACTCTGTTTCAAACACTTTTGAAATCTGGTTGGTGGTTTCAACCTACCATTGGTTGGTAATATACTATTAGTATATGCCTATGTTTAATGTTATTATATGGTTAATGACGGTTAAAAATAATCTGGTTGGTGGTTGGGCCACCTACCCCTCTGAAAAAATTATGAAGTGAAAGTCAGTTGGGATGACATGACATTCCCAACTGTTTCTGGAAAGTCGTAAAATTCCATGGTTCCAGTCACCACCAACCAGAAATATATCATCATTATTCCATTACTCACCATATCATCACCATATCATCACCATATTATCACCATATATCCCCTATTAACCATATCATTCCCTATGTTCCAAACCACCAACCAGAAATATTGTTAACCCCGGATTCTTATTCACCCCTCGGCAGTTGATCGGTGGGATACCTTTTTTTTGCAATGGCAGATAAAAAAACGCGTTACGTCGGGGATAACCCCAACTAATCTGCCTAATCTATAAACCAGTATATATATAATTATATATATGTTATAGTATATATATTATATAAATATTATATAAATATTATATAAATATTATATAAATATTATATCAATATTATATAAATATTATATCAATATTATATAAATATTATATAAATATTATATAAATATTATATAAATATTAAATAAATATTATATCAATATTATATAAATATTATATAAATATTATATAAATATTATATAAATATTATATAAATATTATATCAATATTATATAAATATTATATACATATTTTATAAATATTATATAAATATTATATAAATATTTTATAAATATTATATAAATATTATATAAATATATAAAATAATAAATTATAACATATTATATATATATATATTACAACATATAGAGAGTTTATATATAGGCTGTTTAAAACACCACTCCGGGGCCGACGTTGCTTCCCCATGCTGTCTCCACTTCAGGCCCCAACTGAAGTCCTCGCACGAGGACATTACCCGTCACTTTCCCCACCACCCGAGGGTAAACATCACCAAAAGATGTGGAAAATCCATGGTTTTCTCTGGGAAAAAGATCAATAAATGCTGGGAGTCCAAAATTTTAGAATGGCCATAGATGTGGGCATACCCTACATGTTCAAACACACCCATAAGATTACCTTCTCTGATCAATCTGGTCAAATTTTTGTTTCAGGGCACCATCCGCCAATCTACATAGGTTGTTAAGTAAATAAACTTAACCCGGATTACAGCAAAGAAGTTGTTGATGGGCCATCAACGTGTGCCAAAATTTGCGGACGAAACTGCGCAAGTTCATATCTTGCTACGGATGAATGTATTCAAAATGTGCGGCTCAGCTATATATATATATAATCTGCATACAAGGCTGCATTTTGGCCCGCCCGTCAATCAACAACGACATGTCCAACCCCCCACCGGTCCAGCACGACACATTTCTCCAAACAAGTGCAGGGCCTTAGAGTCATGTGCTGTCCAAGGGAAACCCTCCAAAATCAGGGTGATAGAAGCTAAGCTAATTATGTGTACTTAGTATGTGTACTTGAACCATCTTGAACCTTAAAGCCAACTATTCATGCTTTTTCGGGACGGTCCATAAAACATCAACTCAATAGAGTATGTAGGCCCATGTAGGCCATGAGTAACCTGGAGCATCCTGGAAAAAATGGTGAGTTTCACGGCAGTTCAAATCGATTCTAATTGGAGGCTTCCTCCAATGAGGCTAGCCCCAAAACATTCAAAGACCAAAACCCATGGGTTTGAGAGATTCCCCCATGCTGAGAAACCCGCTCTAATTATATATGGTACCATCTGGTTATTTAACATAGCCATGGAAAATCCCTGACAAATGGAGGTTTGAGGTTTCTAGCTGGGAAAATCATCTATTTCTATGGGCCATTTTCCATGGCTATGTTAAATAACCAGAGGGTAACTCTAAAAAGACTGCAGTCACCGGCTGAAAAACATCGCTCAGCCGGTGATACTCATGGGAAACCAGGCCCATCTCCACCGGCCGCTGGCGGCACATGCGCTGATGGCAGCCTGGGCTGCGATGGGAGCGTCGATTAATATTTCTAGTGAAGCAATGATCAACCACCCATGCTTTGATGGTTCACAAATGTTCACAACACCCATGGCAAAGTCTGTTTTTGTTTAATTTAGAACTATTGCCTTACCAACATGGTTTGTTCCAAAAAAACACATTGCACTTGTCCAGAACCACGGGTCCAGCCGCTTAGCTGGGTGACGCTGTGGGCAGTGACATCCAGCTGTAGAGAGGTTTGCACCTGGACCCGAAGAATGGCACGGTGAGGCTGAGTGCTTCTAGGGCGATGTCCAAACTCAGACTTGAAACTATAGTGACTAGTCACTTGGTGGTTCATCCCAATTACTAAGTAGATTTGAACGTTAGAACCCCAGTTGTAAGATGTTGTAAGTGGATTAACCCTACTTGTTCCACATTTGTAAGGGGATTGGAAGGAGACCTCCTAAAGCCGTCTTTTCATTCAAAAAACGAGGGGTACCCAAAATGGATGGTTTATAATGGAACAGATTATTAAAATGGATGATTTGGGGGTACTCCCATTTCAGGAAACCTCCATTTGGGGGTTACCCTGAGAAACATAATAGATTGCCACTAAATAGCACCTCAACTATTCACAGCCCAATGCCCATTGACATTACTCTCCGTGCACCGTTTCCTGTGCAAGGGCACCTGCTTTAGAAGGTGCAGGGCCCACTCCCACTTCTGACCTTTGTGATTTGCGAGATGCTGCATATGTTTTTTTTTGCTGGGGGGGAGGGTGCCATTTGGAACATGGGCTGAGGTTTGATGGCTTGAATGAAGCAACCTCTGGAAGTTGGTACTTTTGTTTTAGATCCTCCTTCATGTAATTGGGTACCTTCTCAACCGTGGAGAAAGCCAGGGCCTAAAGCAGCGTCAAGACATGTTAGGTATCCGCACCATTTCTGCAGCCAAGCCAAACCATGTTCAATAACTTTGGTGGATCTTTGAACCTCAAGATTTTCAGGCATACACGAAATCATAAAGTATTAGTATTAGAATATTAGTATTAGTATTACAAATATCATGAGTATACAGGTTGCAATCATTAAAGTAAAGACTCTAAGATTGCAACCTTTTGAAAATCCAATGCTCATAGTCACTGCACCGGTCCCGAAGGCCCCGACAAATCTCGCAAACACTGAGCATAGCGGCACCTTGCATTGGACAACCAAGGCTAGAATCGGCTAGAACCGGATTATGACTATGACTAGTTAGTGAAATGGTCAATATACCCTCCAGTTATGTCAAAATAGCTATTGAAAATGGCCCAGTCGAAATAGTGGATTTACCCATGAAACATGGTGATGTTCCAGTTCGTTATGTGGCTGTTTACCATGCCGGGTAACCACTTACAATCAGCAGAAGATGTCAAGGGATTCAACCCACGGGTAACGACTGATCATACCTTCAGGACGTCCCAGGCAGCCCTGAGACAGACACAGGAAATGGCATCTGCTGCAGTCTTCAGATACAAGGCCAGGGCCTCAGCATCTCAGCATATCGCCGTGTGTGCTACGTGTGCTACGCCCCCCAGTGATGGTCAACTTCATAGGCCACATGTCATGACAAAAATTGGGATTGAACATGCTTTTGTCCCCAACAAAAAAGGTGAATGTAAAATCAACTAGCGACAAGGGTGGATATAATAGTGAACATGATGATCAACAATGCCAAACCCAATTATAAACCAGCTCCATTATTACCATAGATGGGTGTAAAAACAATCCCCAAATGGCAGCTTTTCTTTTTATAATATTTTATTATGTGTACCGCATTAGTGAATGCCATATTTTCACAAAGCCAAGTGGTGTGGTGATCCCCTGTGAACGTAAAATTGCTCCTCAAAACCATCTGCCAAATCAACAATATGGTATAATCAAACACAGCACTGACAATTCACTATACATGGGTGTTTTAATGGGAAAATATATATGGGAAAAATGATCTATCGAGGGTTCTCGTGGAATCCCATTCCACTATAAACGGTGTTTAGTTCGCCGGGGGAATCATCGGACCTTTTCCCAGTGCGGGTGTGAAACCCAGTTTTGGCAGTTAGAATCTCCTCATTTTTGGAAAACGGTTTCCATACCCACCGACCCAGAATAATAACGAATCATTCACAAGCGACAACCTGGGAAGAACTTCCTCCATCCAACAAATATCCAAGCACATGTTACTGTTGTTCAGCAAGATCTATAATGTAGGCCATCTTTCCCTCTCTGTGTGCACCAATTCCTCTGTTCGCCGCGTCTTCACCTCCAACATCAGACTCCCATGCAATTTCTTCTGTCTATTCACCTATCTATTCGCAGTTATTCCCGCACTCTGAACACATATACACACATCAATACATGTACATATCATATAGTATTACAGTAATATTATTCCGCATATATTTTCATAGAAAGAAATAAACCTCCCCTTGTTGAGTCCCCTCCAAACGTTCCTCAGCACCGCTCCATTTTCACATCTCGTCCTCCAGCGGTCCCAGCTCCTCTTCGCTGCCCTGGCTCTCGCCATCCTCGCCGTTGCCGTCGTCGCTGCTGTCCTCGCTGCGCATAGGGAGACCGTCGTCCAACGCGGCGCGTTGCTCATCGAGAAGCTCCAACCAGTGCAAGATCCTTGGGTTTGTGGGCGCGCGGGAAAAAAACATAGTAACCCCGACAAAGATTTATACTTTTAAATGATTTTAGTCATATCAGATCTATTTACCAATAATTCACCATTCATTTTAGGATTGGTGTTCACTGTTGTGCATCTTTTTGGGGCTCTACAAGAATTCCACCATGTTTGTGTGTGGCATTTTTTTGGACGTTGAGGTGGAGAAAACGTCCAAAGCATGAAACATCAGTAAATCTGTTGAAACAGGATTTGGAAGAGAGAATCCAGGAAAAAAAACGGGGAACTCACGTTGAATTTGACGGAAACAACATGAAACAACTATATATAGTGGAAACATTTTGGCCCAAAGTCGCCATAGTCAAGAACATTGAATGGAACGCTTGTATATAGGACATGCTATGGCAAATCCAGGAAAAAACAACATTAGGATGGAATGAGGTTGAAGGGCAAGTTGACAGGATCACAATGAAGGTTGTTGAAACATTCTTTTTACGGAAAACCAATATGTTTTGATATGTTTTTTTCTCCGCAAGGGGTTTTCAGTGGAGGTTCTTATTTTCTGAAGCACAGGGCCGGCCGAAGATTATGACGCCCGATCCTGTGCCGACATGTTTCACCATTTTCACCAAGAAACAATCCCAAGTAGCCCTTTCCACCGCCGCGAATTTCGTCATCATAGGCATCCTCCACATCCCTTCGGGCGTGGGAGGTTACGATTCGACCATCTTGTGCATCCATCACCAGGAGACAAGGCATGGCTTTCCTGGTCGCTTTGCAGGGTGGATGCCATGCAAACCATGCAAAAGATGATTCCCCCAAAAAATCGACCTTAGGTACTACCCGGCATGATTTTTGCCTAGGATGTTGCTAGACACTCCCATTTTCCAAATTATTGAAGTACTAAAGGGTACTAAGCTACAGATCCAAGGTTGGACCACAGATGAACGCAAAAACTGGAACCCACAAATTGCGTTGGGAATGGAATGTTCAGAACAAGGAAAACGCCATGGGACAACAGCCATTTGGAGGCTTCATCTTTATGTTTCGGATCCTTTTAGGACATATATATTCTGAATTTCTCAAGGAGTTCCCACCGCGATTTGGTGTTTTGAAGATGCATCCCCATGCCATCAATGCTTGGCAGCTCCCCCCAAAAAATGTGGCCCGTGTGGGAGAGATGACGCACAAATTGATGTTTGATTGGCACAATTGACTGCGTCTAATGTGAGATTCCCTGTCTGGTCTTCAAAGATGAACCATGGGTGGTTTTAACATGTTTTTACATGTTTTAACCAATCCCCCCAAAAGAAGCTATCTCAACATTCTCAACCAATCATATCCCAAATATGATTGAAAAAACATAAGTATTTGAACCCCACAACCAGATTAGGCTTGAATCTTGCGCATCATGCATCAATCCCAAACTCGCCAACAGCACCAAGTCAGGCACCAAGCTTCAAATCCCATCGCGCTATGGCTTCTTGCAATCGCTTGGGCGACCAACTTGCTCCCAGGAAGCTCCCTAAACGTTTCAAATGCGTCTTGTAGGACTCCTCCGACAGATCCTCAGCTCGGCGAAGCGGTGGAACAACATGACCTTGATCTGGGCAAATTACTGCAGCTGCTAAGCCATTCCCAAATCAGAAACACATCCATTTGGGAAAACGATTCCTGTTATCATTTGTAGATGGTGGTGAGGTTATGATAAATATGATAATGGATCTGGAAAGTCAAAAAAACATAGAAAACTGTGTGGTCACAATCTAGCATCACACGAGATCCATACGAACTCGATGTCAGCGCTTTCAGCGAATGGCTTCAGCGCACTCTGCACATCTCGGATGACATTGTCAAATTCGATGCATGCCCCGCACCAGCCTTGGTGGTAGCAAACCACCCCTGAAAGGTTTAATACTCCTGCCATTATAAGTTCAGATTGGAACGGGTAATAATGACAATAAGAGCCTGCTTGGGTTGCTGGCGACCCAAGTCAGATCATGCCCTCTAAGTTTTACAGCCAGCCTCCTCAATAACGAACGAAAAGATCCATTGGTGGAGCATATGGAGCACGCGGCGAACATCCACCCAAGCAGCGTGCTGAGAAGTAAAGCAACACCAGTTTCAAGCCTTCAGTCAGGACATAAGAAGTCCGGACACCTCGCGGTCAACATCACCAACTCTCAAAAAGTTGGGGTGTTGGCCCTGAAATTTTGTCAAACTTGGGAGGGAAACTGCACAAAGTCAAAACGCATTTGGAAATAGGAGCAAGTTGGTCGGAAATCCGCTCTTGTTGGTAGCATCCAGTTGTCTCTGCATTTCTCTCAAAATACTTCGAACAAACACCTATGATTATTTAGATAAAATATACATATACTATCTGGGATAATTGAAATAATTCACTAATTCACAAACCTGAAATGAGGCTAATTATTGGGATAATTCCCTATACATTCACCATCATTCCAGTGAGGGCGGATTTACCCGGATACTATATATAAACGTCTAAAAACTATATCGCATGATCAGTACATCCCCGGGAGGATGGAGGTGAAGCTTCTACTCGCAGAACAATGGCATCCCCTAAAATAGGCCATGCACACCGCTTTTTTTCAGCAATGAAAGCTTACTCTTCATCCCCACTAAACCGCCTTATTTTATGGGGGCCACCTTCCAGCAAACTAATGAAGATATTCAACAAAAAAACATGATTCCATTCTCCATTTGTAGTCGATCTCCGGTCCAAAAAACATGGGTTGCTCATGGTTTTCCAAATAGATGTTCGGTTTACACCAGGGTAAATCCTGAATGTTTTTCCCCACGACAAGTGGCTACAGATCTTCTCATCCAAGTGGGTGATTCCAGGGGCGTTTGCTTGATCGTCTCGTAGAGCTGAACGGCAGAGCATCAGCTCCTTGGAAGAGTGCGACGAGAGATCGAGATGATAGTTATTTTTTTTAATACTATGTAGTAAAGGATCTGGATGGATCTTGATGACAACTTATACTTATACTGATGCATTTACATATGTATTATATATGTAACATATAATACTTAAAATAACAATAATTAAATATATTTATATAGATATCAAACTATATATGTTCTATCTGCTCAGGTTATTTGCCGCCAGGACTCATCGCCTAAGAGCTTGCACCAGTCATGGGTCGCTTGTCGATTTGAGGCCGCCATATGGTGAAACGCTGTGAACCGTGCTTCGGCGCTTTGCAAAGTCGGCTGAGGGATTCCTTAGAGGTCACTAGTTGCGAAGTTTTTCTCAACGGATTGTTTCTTTTTGGGAAAATCTTCACCGGAAACCATCGATTTTCCCGGCAAAATATGTTTGTTTTCTCCCATTTTTTCCAACCAATCCATTGTTTTTCACGATTCCACAGGTTGTTTGACTTTTGTGATGCCGTGATGTTTTCCGCCAATATTGACCTCACGCAGCACAAATGTCACATAGTGAGACGGTCAAGGACGGTTAAACACTTTCAGGAGCTGAGTGCCAGTTTGGAAGAGCCATTTTCCAGGATATCCTCGTCTTGTATCCCAAAATATCGTTGAACACTATTGAACATCGGGAGTTCTGGCAGGCAACAATTCAGAGGCCAATCTTACATTGTGAAGGTAAGTGGAAGGACACGGTATAATGTGGTGCACTTAAGTACGTGACATCAGTGAAAGAAAACGAGGTATTCAAATGTACAATAAGACTCCACAGCAACTCAAAAGAATTGGCTCCTTCCAGGGATTGTTGGGTTTTTACTGTTGCTGCTTCAGGTCGAACCCGCGTGAAATCAGAGAATTGGGAGCCCCGGCCACTTGCCATTGCCGACCCGTTTCACAAGCACGGATCCCAAGCGTGTACCTCAAAGGCGACGTCTGATCAGACCGTTGCCTTCAATTCGAAATGTGAGAGGCGCACTGGGGCCCAGCATCCCAATGCAAATGGCGTGATGTTCTTGCTTAATCCCATCACCCTAATGTATAAAACACCACCTAATTTGGCTTATACCATCTTATACCTACATATTCTCAGATGATGTGGTCCCCGGTGAGCATGAACACACTGTACCACACCATGATGGCGCTGACTCCTACGATCGCCGATCGCCGAAACGGCGGTTTTCAAACCGCGGGGCACATCACAGAATCCGGTACCACCTTGCCTTGGCGCCCCTGGCGCGACCAGGTGGGTTCCGCCACATCACCAATGTCACCAACAATACCTTCCCATAAAATCTGGCAACAGAAAATGCCAAGTCTTAGTGGGATCAGTTGGGAAAATATCCAAGTAATCTACATAAAAGGGGAGAATTCCATCCAGGTTAGATTGCCAGAGGGCACCTCTTTCCATTGGTGGTCTCAATGGGGATTTTTGAAATTACATCGGGGGCATTGGGAGAGCCGCAGATTGGGCAATGTTTAGCAACATGCCATCCAATTCTGATGCTCATTGATTCCGAGCCACAGCTATGATTTAAGTGGGTGATTCGGATTGATTTGGTTGAAAGGGAGTCCAATAGTAGATTAATCTGGATCAATTTCATCACCCTAAAATATTGAGTACCACCCAAAAGCCAAATATGTGTAAATCCCACATTAAACCATGGTTTCTTCAGAACCCCCAAGGTGTTACAATTACCAAATAAGGTGATGCCATCACCTCTTTTTTCTCTGACAACCGACACGGGCTCCGTGCGAAGAATATGTAATGTAATTGTTCTGCTTGGTGGGATATGTGCCAAGATATCCCACAGCAAACATATGAAGTTACTATGTTATGTATCAGCACTAAGAAATCCCATAACTTAACTACCCATCCAGTCGGTTTTTCCAGAAACTTGGGAGAACTTGTCGGTGCCTGGTGGAGAAGCTGAATGACGTGTTGCCACTTCTTGGCCTGGCAACTCATCCGAGGAACGGGAGGACAGTTAAGACCCAGGGGACCACAGATTGGAATGTCTATTTTTAAACACTTTAAGAGACTTTAAGTATTAAACTATTAACCATCCAATGGTCCAATTTTTGGGGTACCCAAAAGTCTGAGACCCAGATGAATATGATGAAACACAAACAGAAGCACCATCCTCCTGACAGAATCTCCGATGATTTCTGCCCCAAAATGCACGCGGCTTGGCAACTCCGAACTGCGGGAGACCCCTTGTGGGTGGCTTCAGAAAGCCCCAGTGATGAAGAAACATGTTCTGTTCACCAAACCTCTGCAGAATGCAGTTCTGTGACATTGTATCTTACGCATTGGAAGCTTTGAAAGCACGGAAGGGGCTTGCAACTTTGAGAGCCTGAACAACCACCCATTTCATTTCCGCAGCACCCCATGTGGCGCAAGTACCTGAAATAAAGTCACTAACCTTCACCAATCCATATAAGCTAACTGTATCTAACTGAAAATTATAACAATTCACTAACCTGAAATACAAGCGTTTTGGGATGCTTCCCCTATACATTCACCATCATTCCAGTGAGGCCCCACCTTTTCATAGCATCCCATGGCTGCGCTCAACATGAAGCGGTCTGGCGTGACATGCCTCTCCAACGTGGCGGAAAACTGCAGAGAAATGGGTCCTTTTGGGCAGGGTGGATTGAAACAGCAACAACTTCTGAAAAAAAAGAAAACCGATGCGCGTTTCTGAACCAAGTCAGAAACCCCAAGTCATGATCGGGATAGATCATGTGTGCATTTAACCACCTCAGACATGAAGAACATTGGGCAGCACATCGGTCCCCAGAGTAAAGTCTGAGCAACAGCTTGTATCACAGCCTCCGCTCCTTCAGGTAAAATCGGTCATGAAGACCAAGTAAAACCAGGAAACCCGGCCATCCACATTTATTGCCAATCTTGGATACTAACCGCAAAAAGCTGTTCATACCTATCATAACTGTATGTATATATATATATAATATCAATCATTAGCTTCACAATATGCATCATATGTGAGAAAAACTTTGAAGATGTCTATCGATCAATGCATTGATTTGGGAAAACCTACCAGAACCCTCTGCCCAGTGCGACATCCATGGCCTTGATGCCTCGAGGAGTTCGCTCGCCGTGATCTTGGACGGAAGCTGGGAGATCCACCGGGATTTGAATCCGTTTGAGCGAGGAAGGGTAAGTTGTAGGGATAAAAAATGGGACATGGGACAATGATATATATATATATGTGTGTGTGTCTTAACTATGTATTACACATTTCACAGATATAATGACTTATAACTTAACTTATAACTTATAATCATCAAATAGACTATGGTCTATGGTTTATTTTTGATATAGTGGACATAGACTATCATGTGGTTCGGGAACACTATTCGTAGCTATTTGGCTCCCTCGACAACAACGGGATAGTGATTTCACCCCGCAAGATGTCTGCCTCCTAGCTCAGAAACAGACACGTTTGACACAACAAATGGAACGGTTGATGCATTGTACGGTAGGTAATGTACGGTACATACCGTGCATTGCGCCGAGGTGTCATGACATGTCTAAGACCGGAATAAGGTCATGTTGCCAGCATGCCTTCCAAAAGTCCACCCTATTACCTTATTTATCCTAGAGGCTATAATTATATAATTGTATTTATGTGGTGAGGTCGTGTGAAATTGATTTCCCCTGGCAAGAAATCAACTGCGAAGCACATTTCGATTGGGATCAGTTTGACGATCGTTGCTCCAGGACTCCGCCCCCAAAAAAGTTTGGGAATCTACCAGAGACTCCCCACATGGATTTTCCTGTGTGGAAATTCACACCCATCACCTTAGAAGCCATCCCCGACCACCAAGACATGGCATTTTGAAGCACGGCTGCTCCTATCTGGGCGGGTATCGCCCTGGTATAATGACAAATTGGGACAGACTGAGACGTCATTAGGTCATTACCCTCCTGTGTCATGGGAACAGGTGGGAAAATCATCTACATAGGAAATATGAAATGTGATGTTCCATTGCCATGTTTGATTGCCCGATTGTATTTTTGACAATTTTTTGACCATTTATGTACGAGTAATTTGTGTCAATCAACCCCAGATCGATAAAGCCCAAGATTACCACAAATCAGGTTGTCGCCAAAGTAGTCATACTTTGAGGGAAGGCCAAAAGACCTGAGGTTAACGATTCCCAAATCCACACTCATCTAAGGTTTCTGGGTCAAATATGGGACTATTTTTGGAACTCACAGCTATTATGGGTACCACCCTCAGGTCTTCCAACAAGATCACGGTATATGGGAAATGGTAATCCCCCCTTCAATAAGGATTCCCCAAAAGACGCGCATCAATTGATCGATGACCATCCCCTTTTGTGGGAAAACACACCATGTAACTTTACCATGGCACATGCTGGTCACTTACCCTTGGCAGAATGTGTCTCAGGCCCCATAAAACAGCTGTACAGCAAACACGAATTCGCATCCTGGCGGTATGAATTCGCCCACTGAGCTGATTGAACGTTGATGACATATTTTTTGGGGCTAATTCAGCCTGCAAAAGTAGAACGGCGATACTTCAACGGATTGATGTACAGGAAACTTTACGGGAAACCATGTTGTATTATGTTTTGTTACCATCAGTGGGGTTCTCTGCGAAATTTCCATTGATCCAATCCGTGGATTCCTGGAACATCTTGAATTGAAAGAAGAAAATCATCAACGATCGTCATCCCAACCAACCAAATATCACAAAACTCATTACCTGCGATGTGGTCAGGAAACTCTTCCCTCCTTTGGCTCCCCGTTTTGGGAATATGGATGCCAATAGCTCCAAATCGCTCCTTCCTAATCACTGGATAGCTACAGTAAACAACCAAAATTGTGAGCCATACCCATCAAGCAAACAGGGATAACAGGGTACCCCCCCCAACACATTAGCTAAATCGTGGGGGTCACCCAATTTTTTGTGATTTGCATCTCTGTTTCTCGGTGCCATTTCCCAGTGAACTTCTGACAGCGACATTTTGCTGGCTCCATGGCCCCGGGTCCACGCAGTGCACGCATTCCAGAGGGTGGAAGATGAAGATTCAATCGGATCAACTTATAGTAACCCTCCAAAAGCTAGAAAAGTGAATATTCACTGTTTTCGGGTTACAAAACCTAAAACATCCTAAAACCTGAAAAAAAACATATCAAACCTAGACGGGGGCAATTTTTCCAACCATTTTTTTTCATTTTTGCTTGGTTGAGAACGGGATGCCCCGTTCATGAAAGCGATAACCCCGAATACGTTGGTACAATCTGGTTTCATCCTCTATGAATCATCAACTGGCAGTGGTTTCAACTATTAACCCACTATAATCTGGTATAATGCACTGTTAATCAATCTTTTTCCGCGTGGGTCGGGTCTCACAGCAACGGTACTGCACCACGCGGGTGCAGACGTTCGCGGCGCCGCAGCTCGCGGTGGAAGTCGCGGAGTTTCAAATAGCCTCGCGGAAGGTCAACGATTGTACCACTTGGGTGTTGGAAGCAGGATAGGGGTATGTACATTGTATCTACCTAAGGTTAAGCACAAACGGAACTATAGAACAAATTGCGCGCCTACATGTTAAACTATAACAAGAGGTGGGAAGTTGGAATCTATACATATATATATAATATGTATTTATTCATTTATTTGTTTATTTATCTATAACAGAATTATAAAGACATAACTAAGTGTACAACTGTACGACCACGCAAGCACAATGAATGTTACTCGAACTTGAGCCATACCCAACGCCATAACCAGTAGTACCCGCACGAGGCGGGGCACGAGGCGGGGCGGAAGTTGCCTTAGGGTTGGACTATAAGACCTTTTTCATCTACAGAACTTGCATGCGCCGTGCGCGAGCCAGGCCCGTGCGTGCGTGCTTTGTGCGACAGTGGTGCGCTGTTCCAAAGGTCGTACTTGAAACTCCATTCTTCACATTGCAGCCTTCACTCTTCGCACTTACACTTCACACCCCACACTTCATCTAATCTAATCTCATCTCATCTGAGCTCTTCTCACCTCATCTCAGCTCTTCTCATCTCACCTCATCTCATCTCTTCTCATATGTCTTCTAAGTTCTTCTCAACTATTTTCAGTTCATCTGGGCACTGCTCAACCTTTCTCATCTCTTCGAAGCTCATCTCAGCTCTTCTGCACGGCAGAAAGCTCTGACTGTCAGAAAGAAGTCTCTTGCACCCAAAACCCGGTGCGCGCAGAAAGCTTTTGCACAGAGAAGCTTTTGCACACAGAAGCTTGAGACACAGATGCGTTTGCACAGAAAAGCATTTACACACAGAAAGCTTCTGCACATGAGAAGCTTTTACACGGAGAAGTTGTTTACGCACAGAAGCTTTTTACACACAGCACGCTTTTACACAGAGAAGCTTTTACACACAGCAAACCTTTGCACAGAAAAGCTTTTACACGGAGAAGCTTCTTTACGCGGGAGAGAAGCTTTTACACAGAGAAGCCTTAAAGCTTTAGAGACAGATGCGTTTACACACGGAAGCTTTTACACAGAGAAGCTTTTACACACAGAAGCTTTTACGCACAGAACCTTTTACCTACTAGTTTGCGCAAAACATTTCCCAGCACTACTTTGTACCGCAAAGCTTGCACAACATACTTCCCAGCACTACTTTGTACTACAAAATACAAAACTTCCACAAAGCACTTCCCGGTACTACTTTGTACTACAAAGCTTGCGTAAAGTACTTCCCAGTACTACTTTGTACTACAAAGCTTGCACAAAGTACGTTGCAGAATTACTTTGTACTACAAAGCTTGCACAAAGTACGTCCCTGTGCTATTTTGTACTACAAAGCTTGCACAAAGTGCATTGCAGAATTACTCTGTACTAGAAAGCTTGCACAAAGCACTTCCCAGCACTACCTTGTGCTACAAAGCTCGCACAAAGTACTTCCCAGTACTACTTTGTACTACAAAGCTTCCACGAAGCTCTTCCCAGTACTACTTCGCACTACATACCTTGCAGGCCATTACAATGCGTTTTGCGGCATCACGTGGCTTGTATCGACGCACATGGCAACAGAAGATGACAACAATCATGCGGCCATTCCACTGCGATCTGCAACCACGGATTCCATCAGCGCCTAGAACCACGATGAACCACGCACACACGAACAACCGCGCAGTGCAGAACACAGTGGAGGAACCAACCACACGTCAAAGCGACCGCAGCCGCACCAACCTCTCACACGAGCTGCCCTTCATCGCCGGCTGCAGCCACTTTACACGGAAAAACACAATGTTTCGCGCTCCGGCTTCCTCCCCACACCACTTCCCTAAGTCTCCACTTCCCAAAGTCACCACTTCCCGAAGTCACCACTCCCCTAAGTCACCACTTCCCTTAGTCACCACTTCACCATTTCCCAAGCTGACACAATAAAAGTCATCCGTAACTCGGAAGATTGCTTCCCAACTTCCTTTGACTATGTATATATATTATGTGCAAGTTTGACCAAACAAATCTGCTTGGACCCCCGTAGGTTTGATGATTAGAAAACAAGTTGCTGCCGCTGAATTGACCAGAAAATTGATTCTAGCAGGGAAAACCTTATGGATTCTCTGAAAATATGGCAACCCCAAAAAACTCAGTTGCTTGTCATCGTTATCCCCATGAGAATGGAAATTGTTTGTTGGATATATTATATAATTATATATATATATATAATTGTATACCCAATGGTCATCCATTTCCATTCAACTCTGGGTATGTAAAAGCATGTGTATCCAACTTCTATCTTTTTATATCTCGATCTGTCTATACGGGGAAATACTTACTGATATGTTTCTGTTTGAGCCGTCCATGCACGTTTGAAATAAAATGTGAAATGTGGAACCATCCGCAGATCGAACTGAGCCTTACCCTCCAGTGATCTCTCCCACTGATTGAAATACCCTCTGGTAAACTAACATATAGCTGTGGAAAATAAGAAAATAACCCATTTATAGATGGTTTACCTATTAAAAATGGTGATTTTCCATAGCTATGTTAGTTTACCAGAGGATATTCTCTGTGTTCTTTAGGTATGGCAAACTGTCGATGATCCGGAGGGTACCCCGGCTCAGGATTCAATCCACCAGTCCGATTCCTTTCTGGTTTAGGGGATTATCCCAGCATGATGCATAAAGAACATATGCAAACAAATGAGGACAGGTTGGAACCAATGGTTACTCTTATGACTATACCTTTCATATCCTTTGTTGGTATACATCATTAATTATTATTATATTATTATTGTTATTGTTATTGTTATTATGTTTAAAATTCTTTCGTATTATTCTTATTATAAAATAATATGCGTATTGTGTCTAGGATCAGTGATGCTTTTTGGACCAGCCCTGGTGTCTTCGGCGTTTCAATCCGCGCCCGCGCCTTCCTCAGACTGCGAAGCCTGACTGGCCAGCGACCAATGCTTCATAACCTGACCGAAGCTTTGAATTCGCCACGGGTCCTCAGCCTATGCCTTTGGTGAGGCCCATATGGAACCATAGTTCATAGGGGGTTCACGGTTAACGGTTAATGGTCCAACAAACATTGCAGGGGCAAAACCACCTGGTGGAATGCCATATCTGGTCTAGCGAAAAAAATCGTCCAGAAATGAAGGCTACCCCAAAAAGGCAATTCCGTTTCTTCCCGATAAAACATGATGATATCCCATTGGTGAAGAGTACGGGACTCTATTTTCAATCGTGAGACAAACTCACAACACCAAGGTGGTGAGATTCTAGCCGTAGTTCAACCCTTTGGATGCTCGCCTGGTCCTGGTGAAAAGTCGCAAAATTGGAGGCCAACCTTGGAAGTGCAATGCCAAACCCAAGACTACACCATCCCCCATTGGTTTTTTCTGGGCTAGACCCCTGCTTGGGATGATTTAAAATGACCCCAAATTGATTCAAATGGTTGGTTGCTGGGACGCTGAAAATGATATCATGTGAAATTTACGCTCCAATTCAATCATCTCCAATCACATTCTATGAATAGCACAAGAGGCTAAGTCCCAGTTATGCGAGCACCTGATCTAGTATATGCAAATATCATATATATATAATATTTATGTCTTTGTGTGTAGGGAGATTCTAAACCATTCCCCACATTTAGGCAGGGTAATTTTCGAGTCGTCATGTTATAGATTCGGGTGATATCACCGCGGTCAATCACTGGCAGCCAGGCCTTCCTGCTGATTTTCCCTTAGAGTGATGGAAAACCTGGAAAACCTGGAAAACTACCACCATTTCGATCCATTTTGGTCGTAGGAATGTGTTCTTTTCCACGCCAAACCTTTAATTGGGGACCTTTGGTAGCCAAAATTCACGATCCAGGGTTAAACCATCCATCCAGTTGGTTGGGGATGTCATCACCAAAGGATGACAGTAGCATTTCCTGAGATTATGGTTACCCTCTGGTAATGACTGTTACAGTTTGCTATTGAAAATATGGCCCATTTATTTATAGTTGATTTACCGAACTTAAAGATGGTGATTTTCCATGGTTATGTAAACGTTTACCAGAGGTAGTTTTTTGTTTTTTGCTACCAGTAAATATCATTTTTTCCTAGTTATATCTCCACTATGTCTCACAGTTGTATCAGCTAATCTCAATGACCCAATCAGTGCTCCTGCTTCAACCCGGCCCAGGAGCTGCGCTGTCTCCGAAACTGCTACCTGAGGTCCCAAGCAAAATTTCGCGGCAGGTGGATACTCAGAATCAATGGCCGTTGATTCGTTGATCATTTTTTTAGGGGGAAGAGTTTCCACAGAAACAGGTTGGACAAAAAGAAAGAATATGAAAGAACAATCACTCCCGGATGGTCAGAGAGAATTATCAAGCAAAAAATCCGGATTGAACCTGCAAACCTACAAAACCTGCAAAAAGGATGATCAACTTTCATCTGGGATGAGATTATGCGTGGAACGGCCGGAACGGCTTTGCAAGAAATCTCACAGTGGAAGCAGAGTTCTCAATATTCAATCAATCCTCTTCTAGCACAATTCCTAACACCCTACCCTCTGGTAATTTGTTACATAGCTATTGAAAATGGCCCAGTCGAAATAGTTGATTTACTCAGCTATAAAATGGTGGATCTTTCCAGTTCGTTATGTGGCTGTTTACCAGAGGGTATATCCACTAACATCCCTGTTTTTGGGTTGATTGAACCCCTAGAATCACCATTAAATACCATTAAACCATATTAAACCACCATGAAATCCCATTAAACCACCATAGTTGTGCCAACCACCATCTTTTTCTCGTCCGCCTGCGCTTCGTGCGCTTCATAGTTGTGCCGCCAAGATGACCTGGCACAACGTGTCTTGTTGGATGGGCAGGTTTTACCGATACCGTAGGAGTAAACTGGGGTCATATATTTATCTAAAATCTTAGATGTACTTCAATTATGGCATTTCTATATGTATATATATATTGTCCATATATACATATGTTAATATCTATATGTAATTATATAATTGTGTATATATATATATTTATGGGTTAGTATTTCTAACAACCCTCCATGATTAAGTAAGGATTTTGCCAATCCTCAAAGATCCAGGTGCGGATTTGTACTACTGCCTAAGCGACCAGAAACGTATTCACTTTCCACTCCCGTTACTTGCATCTCGTCCGCCAATGTCACTTTTCTGGACGGGCTCACCACTGTTTCACCCCCAAAAATGATGTTGATGCATGCTGATAAGTTATAACCCGACCAAACTTGATAATTTATGTGAACATATGATACATATGTGAGGATTCATCCATATCAGAGTTTTTTTCGAGCTATTCTTTGAATTCGTTCCACGCCCACAGCGCTCCGCCCCATGTCTTGCCAGCGGCTGAGCGGGTTCGAACGTGCGCTCCACCCGCAGCTGAATGCGATCGCCTGTAGTGTGGGGATCGGCTTGGGTTTCGTGCTGGGATGGGACCGACCACGTGAAATGAAAGGGGGAAACCATATTAAAAAAAGGGAAACCATATGAAAAAACATTTGGGGATCAATTAAAGTGGATTTTTCAGTAGAGCAAAACCGCTATCTGATTCTATCTGTTGCAGATGACATATCTGAACAAATTGGCAAGGGGAAAACATCCAAATTTTCACCCAACGATGCCGAATGGCCACGTTATCACCCAACTGAGGATATAACCGGCCGAAACAACTTTGTCCTCTCATCGGATTTGTTGATTCTCAGCTTGGGGATATAAAACAAAACAGGATATATTGACTGCCCTTACCACCGATGCAACAACTGTGGTGATTTAGCCAATATATTAGTGTTGACATGGACGGATGAGGAACGTGTAACGTATATTATAATTATACACTATATACGTTGATGACATGTTGGAGAAAATCCGCCACTGCTCAAGTCTTGCAACAAGAGATCCTGAACTTTGAAAAGAAAACCATCTAGAAATGGTGATAATGGTGGGTTGTCCAATGACAGGTTCGATTAGTGAAGGGTAGCTGTACTCAAAGATCAACGGGTTGTGTGGGTGAAGTATGTGATATCACGGAAATTTAGGAGTACCCAACCCAAAAATGTCCATCAACATGGGTTAAATATGGTTTACATTATTTTCTGGAGAAACATGATTAAAAACAACATAAAACATCAAGCAACATTTTTTTGGAGTACTAGGCTAGCAAGGTTTGATTAATGTCACCCAAACTAGTAAGCCATTGTGTCTTGCCGAAAACATCTCTGTTTTGTGACGGCGCCAATGTGCAGTGCCTTGGTCGTCACGCGGCGCGCGTGAATGAAAATGAAGATCGTGACAAGTGTCCTGACGCCGCAACAAACACACCGAGCTAACCGGGGAATCCACGGAGCTCTCACGCCTAGGATGGTCCGAACACATGCAACATCCATATGGCATTGGGAAGAATAGCCCGGCAAACCAAACACTGTTGTATCATATCATATCATATCTCATATATCATATCTATTGCATCTTGACCCTTGCAAATTGATACCCACCATTGGCTCACAATGTGACGCCTTTTCCAAACCTTGTCCACTTACCACTTGGGGCCCCCGAGAGTACTGCTTGGGTTGAGGTCCGGGGGGCCCAGCACATGCTTCATAGTGACAACCCATGGCAACCTCGAATTTTCCAACTGGGATACGCATCATGTTTAAGGCTGCTTAGTAGTCAATCCCCATGAAGCTAAAGGTTAGAGATATGGTTAGAGTACTAAACTACCCGTTCAAGGTTTCCCTAGTTCATAAGGGGAGCCACAAAGGCCAAACCACCCCAAAGCACCAGTTCATGGCCATAATGGTCGAATCAAGTCGCTGGATCGTGACGCGAAAACCGCTGTTCTGGTCGATTGACCTTGCCTTGGATGCCAGGCAACTGTCGAATCCCTTCCCCCGTTCATATACGAAACCATGGTTTTTTGTTGGGAATTTCCACATTCCATTGGGACCATAGAAAGGGGGTGTTTACTATGGATGGGAGATGGGATCAGTTCAATCCGGTGTCCTTTGCGGGCTGTGGCCAAGCAACACAGGGCTGTCCACTTGTTCCAATATGCCAAGCAAAGTTGAGCACGTCCCACTTCTTTCCGTCCTTGCAGAAGCAACATGGCCAAACTTAGATACCCTGACTTCCCTGAATTTCATTGAAATTCATTGAATTTATATAGCTGGTTAGTATATACAGTATATCTTACGGCCTCATTTTTCGCAGAAGATGAACGCATAAAAAGAAACTACCATAAAAAGTTGATACATATCTTGCTTGACAGGCCCAGGCAGAACCAGCAAGTGAAATATGGCATGACACTAACCAGAATCACCAAACTATACGGCTGGTGACCCACATTCAACTGAACAGGCGGTACATGGTGGTACAATGTGAAGATCTTAAATCTTAAGCAGTAGAAACAGACCATGGCATATCAAATGAGGCAATCTGAAAAGCAGCTATCACAAGCCATGCCTTTCTAGGGTTTATGGTAGATATAAGATATATTTCTTCTTAGCTTGGTTTAGATTCTAGACCAACTTACAACCACCACCCTGTACATTTACTCACAAAACATCAAAAAACAGGTGGTTTCCTAGTAGCCCTTAGCTCCCTATCTCACACCATCCAGTGCCCCGGCCGAAAGATTCCAATAGATATCGGGAATGCCTAGAGATAGCGCACCCCAAATCCATTCACTGTGTCACTGTGTGGCAATTTCGGGGGGTGATTTCCAAGTCGCAAATTACAAGTGTCCGCAAGTGCTGGAACCAACTCAGCACATCCAGGAACAATAGACATATGTAGGCCATGCCAAAAAAAATGCCCTTTCAGAAAAATGAAAAAATCATTGAAATTGGGTTTTTCCCATGAAATTGGGATACCATTCTATGGATTACCCTCTGGTGAACTAACATAAGTATGGAAAATCACCATGTTATAGCTGGGTAAATCAACAATTTCTATGGCCATTTTCAATAGCTATGTTTGTTTATCAGAGGGTACCATGGTTTCTTACAGATTTTCGCTTAAACCAACCCATCAACCCATCAAGCCCTCGCAGGCGGCCATCTACCCAGCTTCTCCGCAGGACCTGGCAGCTGCACATGGCCACTTTCCTGCAGATGGCCCCAAGTTGTCCGCGTTGAACACAGGCCCATCCAGCATGATCCGCGTTGAACATAGGAAAATCATAGGAACATGATGGGAAAATACATTACTGGTTGGTGGTTGAGCCACCTACCCCTCTGAAAAATATGAAAGTCAGTTGGGATGATGAAATTCTCAACTGAATGGAAACATAAACAATATTCCAAACCACCAGCCAGCATTATAAATGGAGGAATTATTCACTAATGTGGGTCAAACAATGTCATAAACCACCCAGTCGACTGGGAATGGTAACCATAACACCTATAAAAATGGTGACGACTGGGGGATGGTTTATTATTGTTTTAAGCACATTATAGGTTTTTTCATCACCATAAACATCCATAAACTCTATAGTTACATATAGTTTAATATAATATAACTACCTAGTTGTAAACCGACTTGGAAAACTATGGGGCACCACCTAGTGTGATTCTGAGAAGGCTCCACATGCAGGCCTGGCAGGCCTCCATGATAGTCGCGACCACATGAGATGCAAATAGGGTTAAATAGCAGATCAGTGAACCAACGTCAATAAGCTGTGCTTCTGTATTTTACCAGGTCAACCGAGTATGGGGTGAAATACACAACAAACCGCTAAGCAGCTAGCTCTGTTTTGAACCAACGCTACAGAGTAGTACGATGACATATATAATACATGGTTTTACTGCAGGAGTTTTTACACCCCCCTCGGGCGAGCAGGGACGACTGCGGAGAACGAAGAACCCAGAAAAGCATACCCTCGCGGGTAGCCAAATTTCTTTAGTTGGTTTTGATCATTTTTATGCAGTCTTTCAAAGGTCCTTTTAAAAAGCTCAAGCCCGTAAAACCCAGCGCAGCTATGCAAGGAAGGCACATTACCATGCCACATCTTGCGCTATGCTACAAAAGAAAATCATCGTCTACCTGCGGTTCCAATAGATCCACCGGCCGCCGGCCTCGTCACGGTAATACCAAGCCCCACGCCAGAAACTCCATTCTCGGCGTGCACCATAGTGATCACGATTCCAACTCCAGGAGGCATCCGGGCGACCGGAGCTTGCAGCCTTCGATGTGGTTGTGCTTGCTGCTTTTGCAGTAGGCGGCGTCTCAGGCTCCAAGAATGGTCGTGCTCCTGCTTTGGATGTTGGTGGTTCGGGTGCAAGAAATGGTGCATTGTTGGGATCAACTGGGGCATCAGCGTGCGAGGCATCTGCGCGAGCAGAGCTTGAGGCGGCAGTGTCATCATGTGTGGTAACGGATGCATCAGCTTCGGCTTTGCGTTTTCGCTCTGTGGTGGGCGCGACCGTGGGGTCGGCCTTATGACCTCCAGGACCTCCAGCCTTTGCAGCGGCGCTCTGCTTCTCTTTGCGTTCAAGGTTGCCCCGAACCAATGGAAGATTTTCCTCATACACCTTTTCGAGGAATTCAAGAGTGCCATCAAAAGGAACTTGGATTGTGCCCTTCCAGGTCAACAGGCCACGGAATGCGCCACGACGACCGATGTAGCTGACATATTCATCCTCTGTAAAAATGTGGCGGCCGAACATGAATCCCCAGACCTTCTTCCATGTTTTGCGGAACTCAACTGGGAAACCATCAACCCCTCGAGGCTGGGACATGAAAATCAACTTAGATAAGCAGTTTTCATTTTGGGCATTGGCGGCGACGCCAGCCGAGATCTGAGCTTTGGTCCTTGGGGGATCGGGGAGGTTGCCGTATGCGAACATGTCATCAAAGATGCAGTCCTGCAGGTCCTTCCCCTCACCGTGGATGCGGTCGCAAAAAGTGACGTCGCTGGAGTATCTGTCTTCCACGTCCTCGTAGCCCAGCGCTTTTGCACGTCGATGCCTGTCGCGGCAGTCTTTGAGGACTGCTGATTCCACGGATGTGATTCCCCTGGGGCCCAGTTCCCGGCGAAGCAGATTGGCTTGCTCATCCGTCAAGGCAGTCAGCAAGCTTCCGCTCATTTTCCCAAACATTCCGAACCCGGCGAGACTTTGCATTCGCCGTTCAAGGATGCGGGTCCTCCTGTTGGGTTTGTCGGCCTCTTTTGTATCGCCACTTTCGTCCACTGGGGGTGGCTCATATCCACATGTGGTGCATGTCACTTGGCCACTGACGTACTCAACCTGGCAGAGGGGGCAGGAGCCCATGAAAGGTTCGCAGTACTTGGGTGCAATGTAAACACGGCGCGTCCTTGCGGGCGGCTGGTCAACTTGCATTGGGGCAGTGGCTGCATCATCATCAGTGGACTTGGCATCGGGTCGCCCCGTGCTGGTGTCATCCATTGGGTCGTCATTTGCATCATCTCGGGCAGTCAGGGTGACCGCTCTGGATTTCGGTGCTGAGGCTGATTCCGCGCCTGTCCATGAGCTGGGCTCGAGATTGCTCTCGGCGCGGGACCAAAGCACCTGTCCTTCTTCTGAGATGCTGACCAGAAATTGCGGTGGGATGCGTTCTGAACACAAAATACCATCCATTTCTGTGCGACTAAAGATGACACCAGCTTCTACTGCTTGCCGCATTGCGATTTTGACTTCGACTGGACATTTTGCTCTTAATCCAGATCGATATCCCTGTGTGCCGATACAGTGTTCTGCCATGTAGATATGAGCACGGCCACTGTTGACTGTGTCACCGCCGCCTGGGATCAGGCCGTTCTGTGCGATGCTCTTCCAGCTGCTTCTCATCGTGCGATGGAAGACAACCTCAGGGACCTCAGTCATGGCACACAAGGGCACGCCAGTGAAGGCGGCTTTTCGCTCGGGGGATACTTGGTTTGAGCAATACACCATGGTTGAATTGGCATAAAGACCCCCTGCGGTTTTCAAGGCAGCTTCGGAATGACCCTGAATTGCACGGATTTTTACAGGATAATACGGCATGCCTAGGCCATTGTCGACAGGAAAATGGGAGATCTTTGCACACAAGAATTGGAACCTACTCTTGCCATGCTTGTCGATCTTCATTGCGGTGCCAAACAGGTTTGCGACAGTGATGAAAACATCTGGGGGCACTTCCTTGCGGAAGGCTTTGGCAAAATCCTCCAAGTCAATCCAAAGGTCTTTGTCCATTGGCACCTTGGCACAGGATCCATGCCCCCTGCAAACTTTGTTGACACGAGTTGCAAAATCAGAAAATTTCTTGTCGACACGAGTCTGGCCAGCAATGGTCTCAACGTCGGATGCCGATATCAGCTCCAGCTCATAAGCCGTACCTTCAAAGAGGATACCGGGCACATCATCCCCGTCTGCATTGGTCACCATTGTATATTGGTATTCAGGCAAATGCTCTTCCATCCAATATGCTTTCACGTGGCCGGATGCATGTCCCTCTAAGCGCGCAGTTGCCTGCGGCTGGTACTGGCTGGATGTGGCTCTCTTGTCATCTGCGGGCTCATCCACTGGGGCTGGTGCTGCTTTCGGCCGCGACTTCAACATGACCTCAGCCGTTTGGACCAGGATTGTTGCTCTGCTGGATGCAGCGGGCTCGCCGTCGCCGGCGGCCTTTGGAGGGTCATCTTTGGGAGGCTCGGCAAAAGTGCCCGAAGGCATCGTCTTGGTGTCGATGTAGTCCTCAGTGTCAGGTTGTTGAGCTTCGACGTCCTCCTTGGTGAATGACCTGCCCGTCGGCGTGATGTGTCTTCGGGACTCTCCAAAAAGCAACTTGGTGATGTTTGCACATGTCTCCTGATAGGATCTTGGCAGCTCGTCCAGGACGGCGCTCATGTTCCTCCGCAAATCATCCCATGTCTCCTGGCCACACTGGGTAAGCTCCAAACCAATTCGGCCAACCCGCCATCCGCAATCAATTGCGAAAAGGGTAGCTGTCCAATAGGCAGCAAGACGCGTGCGATTTTCTTCAGAGTTGGCGAAATGCCACTGGTCTCTGAATTCCATTGCATCGGCGTACCCCTTTGCTCTCAGCCACGGATACTTCGGGTTGGCAAGCCCTTGCAGGCTGCTGGTTAGAGCTTTAAATTTGGGCTCCAAAACATCAAAGAACTGGTCAAAGATAGGATGGATGCCATAGTCAGCGGACCAAGGCGCGGTCGTGAGACCGGCCGACTGCAAATCCAACTCCCGGGCCTTGTTGACAAACCATGTCAAGTGGCGCTCACAATCATCCAGGATCGTGGGCCAGTGCCCGTTGGGGCCGTCGTACGGCCAATTTGGATTTTGGGCGATCCCATCCTCTCCTACCAATTCATTTCCGAACCAGGACAAATGCAGGTTGATGCGTGCATCAGGATAGCGCTCGCGGGCGTCCGCGGCCAATTCAATCCCACGCTTGACCAGCTTCTGCAGAGTTTTGCCCCAAAGCATCTCATGGATGAACTCAGTCACATACTTAGGCTTGCGCTGCCGGTAATGCTCGGACAGGTCAAACTTCTTAAGTGTTTTCCTACGCCCTGTGATCAATGCACATGACGAGTCAGAGACTAAGATCCAGATTACATCATTGACGGGCATCTCTGGCAACATGATCTTTTCAATGTGGGACTCCTTTGGCAAAAAGCAGAAGCTAAGGTATTCTGCAAGCGGATCCTCTCGACCGTAGAACCTCAGGGCCGAGGCCGGCGTCCATTCGGTCATCAATCCATCCACGAGGTCCTGAGCAGCCTGATTCTCACCTTCATTGCGCATGGCCAATGCAAACAAAATGCGATTGTGAAGGAGCAAACATGCTTCTTTGTTAGCCTCACGTGTGGCTTCGAGCGCAGCCTCGCGGCTGGCCGGGTGTGCTGTGGCATATCGCGAGTCAGCCATTTTAGCAGGACAGGCACGAATGACAGCGGGTGAAATCCTTTTGGATGTTTGGCCCACCACAGCTACCCGGAAACACCCATGGAGCATGTCAGTCAACTTGAAGGTATAGTTCTCAGCAAGTTTAAGAGCTTTGCCCCTACTTTGATCATGTTCATGTTTGCCATCACATTTGAATGAGTCTAACACTTCGAGTTCTTTGAAGTTTCCTGCAATAGTCC